GTGGCATAACCATAACACCATTGTAATATTCACAATACCTCCTCCTCCTCCTCCTCCTTCTCCTTCTCCTTTTACTATTATTATTATTCTTGCTATATCCCTCATCATCATAGTCAGTATAGTCATTCTCGAAGCCCACATCAGGAAGAGCATTGGTATAGGCAGGATAGGGTAATAGTAGTGATGATGACAACGACATACTACTACTACAAGTATCTAATGGTGTGATACTGTTATCTTTCTCTTCCTCCTCCTCCTCATTATCACTTATAGATGGCCATGAACCCCAGTCAGTATCCAATGAGTATGGACTTGAACAACAACAAGATGATGATGATGATGATGATGATGATGACGATGATGATGATGATGATGTAGGATGATGATGATTATGCTGATACCCATTAGCCTGAGAAGTATCTACCTCCTGTAGAGATGAGGACGACAAGGACTTCTTCTTCTTGTTGTTGTTGTTGTTGTTGGTATTATGATTTTGTTGATGTGTAATATTATCCCAATAAGTAGGACCATAATGTGTAGTAATCTCCTGTCCTGTAGATATATCTTTAGTAGCAACTAACCATCGTGTTAATGGTCCACCACCTCTTTGTGGTCTTAATACTAATGCTGCATTAGGATCATCAGCATGATTAGCATATCTAGCTTCATTACCAACTTCATCTGCATCTATTTGTAATTCCCATGACATATATTCTTGTTGTCTACCAAAATTAAGTAATAAATATGCATCCTGTAAATCTTTAGAATATATAATACCATCATTACGACCAGTACTAACCCTAACAACAACAACAACAACAAGAATAACAACAGTAATAACGAGGATAGTAGTAGTACTTGGTATCCTTTCTTATATCCTCACATAGACTTTCTAATTCTCCAAATAGGTATTTAACTTGATCATTATTAAATGTACCATTACAACCAACACTCCTAATAATACTACATAACCATTGTAGATACCTACATACAGCATCAGCATGAGCACCAGCATCAGCATGAGCATCAGCATGAGCAGCATCACTCTTCTAGGTATAACCTTAATAATACTATTACCTCATCCGACCAAAGCATGAAGTGTTAGTGATGATGTCAATAGTATCATGTAAATCATAATGATGAGGGTCATCATCATCATCATCATCATGTTGTTGTTGCTGATGATCAGTGGTATTGTTGTTGTTGTACTTATCAAGATGAATAACATCTTTCCATTCGTTTTCAATAACATCCTTTAATTTATTAAAATCAGATGATGATAATAAACCCCTACACCATGCAATAATAATAGTTACCATTGCACGTTGGAAATATGGTTCCTTCCTAAAACAACAACACAGTATCATCATAATCGTCATAACCATACATACTTACTCAAATGATGCTGAGGAAGGGCTGGTAGCAAGTACTTTAGCGGCCTCAGCAGCTCTCAATGCTTCTGAGTAATGATGATTCTCGAATTGTATTATAGCAATATGACAATTCCATCCGAATGATTTCTCCAAATCATTCCTAACCTTATATGGTATAACCATATCATCCTTGGAAGATGTTGTTGATGATGTTGATGATGTTGTTATAGTTAGTATCCTATTATGTGCAATATCCCATTGGCCTTTACGTATATAACAATGCATTAGGTGTATATTCATCTGTGTTAATACTGAATATGGTGTATATTTATCATTTAATGATAACATAATAATATTTATAGCCTTATCCCAATTATTAAGTTCCATAAGACATTCTACCATAATCTCCCTCATACCATCTAATAATCTATAATCATCACCATATCGTATATTCATACCACACCATTCTCTATTCAACCATTTACTATGTAACTTCTTAGTACCATACTTTTCTATATCCAACATATCCCTAAATACTAATAATACTACTAGATACTACTTGAGACTAGTTATTATTACCTCACTAACGTGATTATATCCTCATGATTATTACTATTATCACTATATAACTTATCTAATTCCCTATACTTTATCTCCCATTCATCATCATAATCATTGATAGATCGTATCCTCTCAATATCTGACACATCCTCCCTCTCCACTTCTTCCTCAATACTACTACTATTATTATCGTAAAGAGAGTCGTCATTATATATCTTCAAACCCTTATCAAATGGATCTAATTATTATTAATAGTATTAAAATGATGATGGTATAATTGTAATTACCTAT